GGGGGGCAGGCGGCGCGTCTCACCTTCCCTCCATCTCATGCTGCAAAACCAAACCGCCGGCAGCGGCACACAATTGGCCGGTCCTAGGTTCTGACCACCCTGGCAGGGAAAGGAAGGTTTCTTGTGTCCAGTGTATATCGGGTGTCGCCTTCTCACTAACACTAGCCACAGCAGGGGACTCCTCCCAAACTGGAAGCAGGATTCAATACTGAACACCCTCAACCCCGTCCAACTCATCCGTGAAGTGGGAGTATTCATCAGGGGCTGACAAGCAGCATCCCAAAGACTTGGCACCAAAGGAAAACCAGCCTGTTGCTTTTCTTCTCTCTCTAATAAGGCATAGCATTTATTTGATCAATATGCATGTAAGTATTGAAATGCGGAGTTTTCAACTGGAAAAATAGCTGGGAAGCGTCATGATCCTAAGGGTGGGGTGCCAGACAAAGAAGGAGTAATGGCAAAGAGCAGAGGCAGTGACGGGTTTGCATCCTCATTTTGCTGTTGAGTTTGTCTCCGAAGTGGATTGTTGCCTCAGATGAACCATCTCCATCTCACTGCATCTCTGAGAAGGGTCTCAAAATTACAAGTCAAAACCTGAAAAATCATAAGTCGTTGCTTCAATATAAGTCTTAGCAAACTAATTTTATTTTTAACCAAGACTATATTACCAGAAATAGATTCACTGTTAGGAATCCTTTTCAGTGATTTTTTTGTGTGGGGTATATTCGGAAAGACATTGATCTACCTACCATCTATTGATGTTTGTCCTAAAATTATATTAAATTAATTATCCATAATGCGTTTAGCAAATATAATATATTTGGCTTCAGTTCAAATAGAAATTACTTTGAATTTAACAGTTTTGGGTGATCCTTGCCATGGCTCTACTTTATCAAGGTGAATTGATTTCAATTGAAAGTTTACTCTACACTAGAATCCTATTTTAGGAGGAGAATTTCATCTAAAATTCAATTATGGAAGGTCTGTGCCAAAGTGAACAGTCAACTAGCACTTACTGAAAGCTCCCTGGGTACAGAACTCTACCCAGCTATTACAGACTAAGTCAAAGAAGTAGAAAGGATTGTCCCTCTTCACAGAGCAGTTTCAGTTTAGAGTAAAAGAATTTCGCAAGGGGAAGGAACTTTAAACCCCCCCAAAAAATCCACTAACATTGAGTTGATTTCAAGTCCTAGTGTTCCTGTAGGACAGAGTAGAACTGCGCCTTAGGAATTCTGAAGCTGAAACTCTTGACAAGAACAGAGAGTCTCACCTTTCTCCCACAGAGAGGCTGGTGGGTTTGAACCACCAACCTTGCACTAGGCAGCCCAACACTGTACCACCCAGGTTCCTTAGAGACTCTCTAACCTAGCAGTTTTTGAGTGGTGTTTGCTTCTCAAGTTCTGGGCTTCCGAAGAGTTGCCCCCAGAGTCTCTAAGGAATGAGGAGACCATATGGGACCTATACACAGACCCAGCCAAGGAAGCCGCTTCTCTTCCCACCCACTCAGGCCAGGAAGTAGACGTCGTCCGGCCATCTTCCCAATCCTCTGCTTGCCTTTCAATCAGTTCTTTAGTCAGCTGCCACAGCAGTCCTCAACCAAATCAGGTTCTTGATGGAAACTTCAAGCAAGTCATGTTTCACCCTTGCTTAAAACTTTTCAATGACTTCCCATTGTACCAAGATTAAAGTCCCAAATCTGCAGCACAGCCTACAACCTCGTCTCCGATCACATTTCTTGTTCTTTCCCTGTCCTAGCCCCAGTCATGTTATCAATTCCTAGGACCCATCGGGCGCTTTCCTCCTCGAGGTTTTTACAACTACTGTTCTTTCTTCTTGAAACATGTTTCCCCCAGCTCTTCCCATGGCTCTTATTTCAGATCGCAGATTGTCACATTCGCAGAGACCCTGCTCTGAGCACCTGCCCTATCTAAAATAGGGATCTTCTGTCATTTTACAAAGAGCCCTGGTGCTGGTGTAGTTACCTGTTGGGCTGTGATCCACAAGGTCAGCAGTTTGAAACCACCAGCTGCTCTGAGAGAGAAAGACTGGGCTTTTTACTCCCATAAAGAGTTACAATCAGGAGCGGGGAGCGGGGAGGGAGGGGAAAAAATGATGACCTGATGCCTGGGGCTTAAGTGGAGAGCAAATGTTTTGAGAACGATGAGGGCAATGTACAAATGTGCTTTACACAATTGAGGTATGTATGGATTGTGATAAGAGTTGTATGAACCCCTAATAAAACGATTTAAAAAAAAAGAGTTACAATCTCAGAAACTGACGGGGGCAGTTCTACCCTGTCCTATAGGGTCACGATGAATCAAAGTCGATTTGATGGCAGTGAGTGAGTGACTTATTTTACAAGATGGTACTCTATTTCATCCCTTTATAAGGTGAACAATTTGTAAGCGTTTTCTGTAGTCACATGTGAGGCTCCCTCACCAGTCTCCCTCACTAGAACATCAGCTCTCGGGGCAGTGACCTGTCTTGCTCTCAATTATGTCCCAGCACCTGGAAAAGTACTGACACGTGAGCAGAAGATGCTCAGCACATAGGTCCAGAGTGAAAGAATGAGAACAAAGCCCTGTCTTGTCGGGGCTCTCTGAGAAGCCTGAAGCAGAAGTAGGAAATGGAAGGGACGGTGAGTAGGCCAGTGGAGTTGAGAAAGAGTAAAGAAGGAAAGCAGTCCAGATGAGCATCACTCCGAAGGCTAGCTAGAGCAAGCAGATGTCAAAGAAAATGGCAATACGGGTAGAAATCGTATAATGGGAACCTCATTTTCTACGTAAGCCCTCACCAAAGCACACTAAAATCTATTTTTTAAAAGAAAAGAAAATGAGTGTGGCAGAATCTAGACCATAAGTGGTAAGGCCGTATGAGGTGCATTAGGAGGGCTAGGCAAAGCCAACCCACATCTCTTCCCCAGGACCCAAACCAGAGAACTGACAACAGGGGAGGGATTCGTTCGCCAAAGGAAAGTCAGGGTGCTTCTTGGCAGAAAGGGGGGCAAACGAATGCGAGAGACCAGTGGCAGAGGATCCCTGGGCCTGATTTTCTCCCTGCCTCTCTGACTACTGCTTCTGTCTCTTTTATGGGGTCTGCCTTGGCCATTCCTTTCAGCCCAACTTCCCCTGAAGTCGATTTCTCTCCTCTTCACGCTTTCTCACTTGCTTTGAGTTTTGCTCACTCACTCTGAGGGCTTTACAGCCATCCATCTGTTGAAGAATGTTCCAAATCTGCTTCAAAGCAGGCCTTTGGCTTGCACTCCAGAGCTCCACACCCAACTCCTGTTGCTGTGGTTCGGTGTCATCAAGCCCGCTCGGACTCACAGGCATACCACAACAGAAGGGCCACTGCCCCGTCCGCATGATCCTCACAACTGTCCCTGTGTTTGGACTCACTGTTGCCGCCACGGGGTCAATCCTTGAAGACCTTCTTTTCCCTGACACTTGACTAAATGTGATCTCCTTCTCCAGGGACAGGTCTCTCCTGATAATGTGTCCCCCCTCCAGGAGACACAAATCTCACCCTCCTTCTTTCGAAGGGGAACTCTGGCTGTACTTCTTCCAAGACAGACTTGTTCATTCTTCTGACAGCTATATACAGTATATTCTTTGCCGACATCACATTCAAAGGCATCCATTCTTCAGCCCTGCTTATTCATTGTCTGCAGCTGAGATGATTGAAAATACCATGGCTTGGGTGAGGTGGACTTTAGTCTTCCAAGGAACATCTTTGTTGTTGTTGTTGTTTAAAAACATTTGAAAGAATTCTTTCGCAGCAGATTTGCCCAGTGTAATATGCCCTTTGGTGGCTGCTCCCATGGGTCTTGTTTGTGGCTCCAAACAAAATGAAGTCCTTGGCCATCTTTTCTGTGTTGGTTATTGGTCCTGTTGCAAGAATTTTTGTTTTCTTTCTATTGAGGTGGGATCCATACCTAGTTGATGAATAAGTGCTTCCAGTTTTCTTCACTTGCAGCCAGCAAGATTGTGTTCGCTGCATAACACAGGTTGTTCTTTCACGAGGGTGATGGTTAGGTTCTTGTAGCCTCTTGGTCTGGGCCAGGATTCACAGTGGCTTGGCATGTAAGACCTGGTAATCTCCAGGACGAGATCTCCTCAGAGGTATGGCCTGTTTCCCATATAAATGCTGAGCTAAAACTTGCTCGCTTGCATGTGGTGCGTCTGGATTCTGCTTCTGGCTCACCATCTTACCTCCAGTTCTTTGGACTTGAGCCAGTGGCCTGCTGTGTTAATTGCTGGTCCTGGGAATTGTCAACGGCCTGCTATCTGACCTACTGACCTTGACTTCATTTGCCTCGACAGCCTTCCGTCTGACCTGCTGATACTGGGTTCGTGAGTCAGGAGACGTCTGCATCCTGACATCTGATCCACAGACTTGGAGATCTTGCCTGCTTATAAAATTGCGCAAGCGCTTTCCTCGATCTAAACCTTTCGGTATGTACACATAGTGAGCTTCCTGGTTTTGCCTCTCTGGAGAACTCAGCCTAAAACGATGAGTTGTCCTCCAATCCCCATGCTGTGTCTTTTTTCATATAGTTCAGCTTCTCAGATTATTTGCTCAGCAGACAGACTGGATGAGTGTGATTAAAGGATTCGCCCTTGACACACTTCTTTTTTCTTTATGATTTTATTGGGAGCTCTTAGAGATAATATAACAATCCATAATTCAGTGAGATCAAGCATAATTTTACAATTGCTACCACCATCAAAATCAAAACATTTCCTTTCTCTTTGAACTCTTTAATATCATCTTTATTATCCCCTTCTTTCCTCACCCTACCCCATAGGAACCCTTAAATAAATAAATAAATATATACATATATATATGAACCCTTAAACACATATAAATATAAATATATAAATATATATATATGTTCATCTGCAATTCTGTTATCCATTCCCCTCCAGTGGGGTTATGCAGTCAGCACTCTTATCAGTTCCCCCTCCCCGCACCCCCTTCCCATACCCTCAGGGACTCATTACTCCCTTTACTGTTTCTGAAAGGTTATCTATCTTGGCTTTCATGCATTGGATGATCTTAATTATACAAATGAACATACACAGGTCAAACAAGTTTAATGAGGTCAAACTGGGACCATAATAGTAAGGGGAGGAAATATTAAATAACGAGAAGATAGTTATGTGTTTCATCAGTGCTATACTGCTCCCTAGATTTATCATCCCTTCTGTGTGGCCTTTCTGTGAGAGATTGTCCAATTACCTTACAGGCGAGCTTTGGGTCTCCACTTTGTCCACGCTCCTTCATGTCAACTTGATTGCTTGTTTTTGAACTTCTGATACCTATTCCTGTCAATACCTCCTGATCACACATGCTGGTGTGCTTCTTCCATGTGGGCTTTGTTGCTTCCCTTCTAGATGGCCACTAACACACACCTTTTCTGGTTTTAAACCACACAGTATCCCCTTTGCCATTTTAATGGTTGCTTCTCGGTCTATGTACTGGTTCCACATGACCCTAATTATAGACATTCTAGAATTCCAGTCATCGGAAATGTTACCCATAATTTGTTATGACTCACAGAGTCAAATATTTTTGCATAGTCAACAAAACACATGTAAACATCTTTCTGGTGTTTTCTGTTTTGGGCCAAGATCCACTTGACATCCCCTCACGACCAAGCTGATACTCAGCAGGTCTACAACACACTCCTCCTCCAGTACTCTCCCTCGCCCACAGCTCAGGAACTGAGCTGCAGCCTCCCGCTTCCAGCCTGCGTCCACTTCATCCCGCTTGACCATTTCAGGCTTCCGTTATCTCCTACTTCTGCCTCCTCACTGCTGCTTTCCCAAGTCTCCTCTGGATCCCAAGAGCCCCCTCACCAGTCTCCCAGCCCCTCAACTTCCTTCCTCCTTCGGGCTCACTCTCTGCTCTGCAGAAGCTTTAGGAAGCTTTCTAAAGTCTCGATCAGATCTGGTCACTTCACTGCATGCAACCTTCAGTGGCTCCAGAGTGTCCCCTCAAGACCACACACACAGTCCTCACCAGTGTTGAGAGGCTCTTTACCAGTGGCCTCTGCTTTTGTCAAGGTGTTCTCTGATTCTTACCACCCCATTCAACTGTCTGATTCCAGCTACACACCGAAAGAACCGCTCTTAATTCCTGGAATTTACCCAGTCCTCTTTGTTACCCACCCTCCCTTTCAGGCCTTTGTACATACTGTTCCATCTGCCTAGAACACTCTTCTCTCACTCTTCTCTTTCTCTTTGTCTGCTTCGCGCCCCCCCCCCCTCTTTGTCCATTCTTCGATTATCCTTCGAGCTTCAACCCCGAGCTCCTGCCGCCACACCAGCACCCAGGATTGTGGCTGCAGATTCTCTCTCTGTCCCTCACTGAGCTCCTTGGAAGGAAGGGCTTATTTTTTTCCTTTCATTTCTCTGTCATGTATCCAGTGCAGCATTCCTGTCACATAATAGGTATTCCAAGGAATGGATGTGAAATGACTAAATGCAGGCCTGAGTGACAAGGCCCCTCCTTCCAGGAGCTTGGGGCCTGGAGTTTCAGGCACCGATGCCTCCAGCCTCTCTTACTTCCATGTCCATTGTTCGGCCATGGGCAGGCTGGGCAGCCGCCTGTGAGAGCCCTTAGCACTGGCCCAAGAGGCTCCTTGACTCTGACCCTCTGCTGGGAGCCCAGTCTTCCCTTAAAAGGCCACCTTATCGGAAAAGGCCTATGGTGGCATTTATAGGCTCTATTTTTATCTCTGTTGAAAAAGTCTCCAAGTTCACTCCGAAGCCAAAGATGAGGGATGTGGCTGTGCAAGGAGGCAGCTCCATGATACCTTGGAGCCCCAGTTTTGCTTGCTGTGGCAAAACCCCAGGGTTCTCTTTTTCACTGGGGTCCTCGTTGTCCCGAGGGACTGACTTCAGCACCTTTGGGTCCCGCCTTGTTTAAAACCAGATCCTGCAGCACTTAATGGTCTAGGTGACCAGATTTTAACATTGGTGCAGAGGGACAAAAGTGGGACACCATTGATAAAACTCATATCCTGGCGAAATAGCCACAGGGCAGCCGAAAACCATATACCCTACTTTGTCGTGCATTCTTTCCAAAAATCGGGACTTTTTAAAAATGCTGTGGGATGCGGGGAAAAATTGTTAAAAATCGGGACTGTCCTGCCAAAGGCGGGACGTCTGGTCACCTTAGTCTAGGAAGCAGTCTCCTTCTTCTCTAAGAACCCTGTAACTCTGCTGGGGCCCTCGGAGCCCATGGCCAAGGGAGCATCCTCATGCCAAAGGTCTTCCAGTTTATTCACAGGGCCTTCTCACCCCCATCCCCACATGGAAATCCATGGTGGGTGATCGCACTGCTAGCTGCATGAAGGGAGTGGGCAGGGGTGGTCAACCAGCCTGGCCAGAGAGCTAATTGGGCAGAAGCTGGAGAAATGAGGAGAGCCACCCAGAAGGGCTGGCGGGCGAGTGGAGGGCCCTGTGCCAGGAAAAGGATTCGCCTCAGAACCGGAGCCCTAGAGAGAGGGGAGTGTGAAGAGAGGAACATGACAGTGAGGGTGCGTGGGAAGGGAGGGCAGCGGGCAGGAAGCAGGCAGCAGCTGAGAGGGGGAAAGGATCATGGGTAGTTCGTGAAGAAGGAGAGAGAGAGAGAGAGCCTGGCCTGTTCCTTTCATCCAAATGGAACAGAAAAGGGGCTGGAGGCACCTGCGAGAGAGCCGGGAAAGGCATAGGACTGTTCTTGCTTTCTGACTGCTGCTTCCCTGGGAATCCCAGAGAGATTAGCTTTCTTGCCGGACCTGGTCTCACAGGTGGCCAATCTGCCAGCACAGGGTTGGCACTCAAGCCGTTGGGCCTTCTCTTTCCCTCTGCAGAAGCCTAAGCAAGCCAGGGTCCATTCTGCCCTGCTTCTACCTCCAGAGGCCCCGCTGGGCCAGGATTCCACCCATCGACACCGCTGCTGACTCTATGGGTCATCCTGGGGCGGGACCGGCCTGGAAGTGTGGAGTCTGGTCTGAGTCAGCGCTGCTTGGCGGGGAGTATGGAGGAGCTTAACCAACCAAACTCTAAATTGCTTCCTGGAAAGTCTTGCTTCAGAGCTTCTGCCTGGCCACGTGCTGGGCCAGAGTGGGGGGCAGGGTGGAGGGTGGGCGGGGGTGGGGGGGTGTTCGACTTTCAAGGCACCTCTCATCAAAGGGAGTCATGTGACAGGCGGAGGTTTCTCACCTAAAGAATGACTTCACCAGGCTGTTGGCTCCTCCCAGCCCCTCCACCTTACCGGTCAGAAAGTCATCTTTTTCTAGGGTCTCATACAAGACATGAGGGTCAAGATGGAGAGTCTGATGCTTACAGCTTGTATCTGATCCTTGTCTGATCTAGTTACTTCTCCAGGAAAAACAAAACAAAGCATCCGGCAAACGGCACGTCCCTCTCTCAGCCTGGGCTGTCTGTTTCGCTAAACGATGTCCTGATCCATGGGGGCAGTGAGAATTCCTTTGGGCGACTCCACGTGGGCGGAAGGTAGCATCCTCCCTGGATAAACTGACCAGCACACCTTGAGCAGACATCAGCAGCCTGTTCCCGTGGGGGAGGAAGTCAGAACCACCTCCACGCCTGTTGACACCACATTTCTGATGGCTCCCATGCAGAGTGAAGGGTCATTCTCGTGGTTGCTTTGATTAAGCGAGAAGAGAAAGCCAGCTGTTCCCTCTGACCCAACTCAACTGCTTGTTATGCCGTGGGCACTCTAGTGGGCAGGCGGTGGGTGGCAGCAGCTGCTAGACACCTTCCCCCGAGGATGCATCAGTTGGTGCCAAAAGCCTATGTAAGCTCTTCTGATCTCTGTGCCAGTGAGTGCAGGCCCTGGAAGGGAGCCAAGACATCCACTATGGGTCCTGCATTCTCTCCTCCCCACACCCTGCACGAGTGGGGCGGGAGGACTGACCTAGGAGGCCACCAAGACAGGAGCCGATGGTTCTTAGATACATTCCCCAGCTGTCATACCTCTAACGTGGATACACACACACACACACACACACACACACACGCATGCACGCTCAGCAATAAATCCCATCCCAGGCTTTCTTCTTCCATCTGTCCCATGGCCACAGCAGTAGCAGTAAGAGATCCCCTCCACATGCTGTTGTTTCCCCATTTGTCCCTTCCCTTCTTCCTCTTCCTCTCTCTCTCCCTCCCTCTTTTCCTCCCCATGGACAAGCATGTTTGAACTCCTCCTACCTAGTGCCTCTCACAGTGTTAGGGGCAGGAGCGGCCAAGGTACTGCCTTGGCGGAGAACATAGCTATGAATATTAAGCAAATGCAAAGCCACCAAGCCAGGATTGTAACACAGTGAGTTGCCAACTGGCAACAATGGGCCACGTCTGACCAGCAGGTGAGTTTAGTCACGCTGGCAGTGAATTCAAACCAGTGAGAGAATTCATGTGGAACCCAGAATTCCCCTCTTCCC